AGAAGGTATTTAAGAATCCCTAAAATACTAGCATGAGACAGCTAAGTGGCACAACCCTGGAGTCAGGAGGACCTGTATTCAAATCTACCCTCTGACAGTTGCTAGCTGTGTGACCCTGGGTAAGTCACTTAACACTATTTGCCTCAGTATCCTCATCTGTAAAATGAGCTGGAGAAGGAAATGGCAAACCACTCCAGTATCTTTGCCAAGAAAACCCCAAATGAGGGCACAAAGAGTTAGACATGGCTGAAAGTCCAACCCCCCAAGGTACTAACATAACATCCTAGTATAATGACCTATCTTGCAAGAAGATGGTCCCAGAGCTCAGTGAGCCACTCTCTAAGAGCCTGGATTAGAGCCACTGCCTAAGAGGATAAGTTAATAGTTTGCTTATGGAAGAATGCATTCTGGGAAACTTTTGAAGCCAAAAAAGAAGAAAATAACTGAAATACATTTAGTACTTTAAAACTTCCAAATATTTTTTCCCTCCCAACAACCCTCTGTAGTAGCATTTGCTATCTCTGTCTTTGTATCATCAGAGCCTTGCACGGTGTCTTGGCCATTGGTGAATTGAATGGAATGGCACTTCAGTGATGATTCCTATCTTGAGCCTTCTGGGAACCTTTTGGTAGTCTCACATTCATCAGCATGGCTATTGTTGGGTCAGCTTCCCCATGATAGTAACAGAGTCATTAGGAAGGTAACATTGGAAATCTAAGAGCTTTGCAGAGAAACACATTCATAGAATTAAGGAGCAGGACGGAACCTTTAGATCATATAATCCACAGAAAGCTGACATCGAAAGGACTAGTTGGAGGCAGAGTCAAGACTAGAAGCCTTGCCCCCTGACTCCTATTTCAGTCTATACTCCTGACCTTATATCACAACATTAGGAGCTCACAATGAGTAAAATTTGCTCCCTTTCTTCTTGGCAGTGTTGGAGAATTGAATCTAGGACCACATAAACTGTCAGACTTGGTTTATATGCTGGTTAGTTTTACTGAAGTGCTTTTCCCCCCTCTCTTTCTGAAGAGGGGTAGTGGTAGTGGTGGTGGAGAAGGAGTAGGGACGAAGTTTATTCAGAAATAAAAATAAATTTACTGAACAAATTTTAATTTATAACAAACTGCTTTCCAATTTCCCATCATTCAAAAGGAAGTCCATTATGTTATTAAACACTATATTACTGTTAAAAAAAAAAGAAATAAAGGTGATTATGAAACAAAATATATCAATAACAATTTAAAAGATTTATGCAGTGATTTACACCTTATAAAAGGGCTTCTCTCACAATACCCTTGGGAAATGGCTTGAGAAATTATTCATACCATTTTGCATATGAGGAAAACTGAGGCCCAGAGAAGTTGGGACTCCTCTTCTGTCATGCATCCAATAAATGATGGAGGCAGATTCAAACTCGGGCCTTCTTATTTCAAATATAGTACATTTTCCAGTAAAACAAGCCATATCAACCATACTCTTCCCATACTAACCCTCATAATCTTATACTTTTTTGGGATCTGAGAATAAATTTAGCTAAAGCAAAGAGAATCTGATGATGGGAAGAAGTTCCCACATCCAGCAAAAGTAGGAAAGAGAGTGTAAATGGACACACACCCACATTAGGTTACTGGAAAGCAATAGGGTAATTCTCTTTATTAGAGGACTGCAGAAGAGGAGGAACTGAGATCACCAGGCTCTCAGACGTCATTAGCATGGGAAATTCAAGAGAAAAATCAAAATAAGGTAAACAAAAAATAGAATCTAATCCCTTTCTGTCCTGTGGTTTCTTCTAAAATATTTTGTTACATCAAGTGCTATTCCAGGACATGGGAGGATAACCCAGGTATGAAACTTGCCATCTTAATGTTCTCCATCAGATCCAAAATATTAACCACTCAAATTCAATTTATGAGAAAAACCAACATTTTATCAAAAATATTTAATCAAAAATAAATGTGATGTAGAAAAACAAGGTATTGTACAATTTCTTTTAGCTCTAAAATTTTACAATCCTACAAAATTAATTGCATAATCTTTGACTTTCTTAAAAGAACAATACTGTGAATCATTGTCTCTTTGATCTTAAGCATATCTACATAATCTTGTCCACTTATATTTAACAAATTCTATCAGGGTAAAAATTTAGTGAATCATAATGTCAAAAGTAAAATTCACTTTTTCTTTTTATAACCTTAAACCCATTCCTTTATGCATTAGACTAAACGGTAAATTGCTGTCTTCAAAAGAGTATTCAGTTACATCTAAAAGGTAACATGAATAAACATGTCTTGTGAATGATAATGCCTGGAATTTATATGGAGTGTTTCAAATGAAAACCTGACGTGTATGTTCAACAACCAAGGTGGCATCTAATAGAAAAACGCCAAATTAAGATTCAACATTTTGAGTAGTATCACACAGTTTCTAAGATGCCTTTATTTCATGGCATTTTTCAATAAGAAAAATGTAAAAGAAAATGAGAACATTAAGTATTCTCCAGTAGGATTAAATTAAAGTGAGAGGTGATGAAATTGCTAGAATTATTTTTCAATTGATACTTTTATGAATTGAATAACACTAAAACATTTTTTCAAGATAATTTAATGACAGGTAATTAGGTATATAGTAGAGTGGGGTGGGACGAGGAGAGGGGAGTAAAGTCTATACTGTGAAGCTTTGCTTTTATAATCTGATATTCCTTGTATTTGTTTTGGCTTAGGAAATTGTTTGTGTATATTTTTGAACCTAATTATTAATATAAGCATTTTTATCATTCTTTCTATTTCAGCCTATATGAAAAAGTTCAGATTGCTCTCATTTGGCTTTTAGTGGTAGCTATAGTTCAGTCATTTTTCAGTTGGGTTCAAGTCTTCATGACCCCATTTGGCATTTTCTTAGCAAAGATACTAGCGTGGTTTGCCATTTCTTTCTTCAGCTTATTTCACAAATGAAATAACTGAGGCAAACAGGGTTAAGTGACTTGCCTCAGGTCACACAGCAAGAAAATGCCTGAGGCCAGATTTGAACTCAGGAAGATGAGTCTTCCTGACTCCAGGTCCAGCACCCTATTCACTGCACCAGCTAGTTACTCACTGATTTGACTTTTGGATAACAATACATATATGATTAATAACTAATAATATAAATGGAAAAGCCAGTTGGCATTTATATAGGACTTTAAGATTTTCAAGGCTCCTTCATGTTACTTCATTTGATCCACATAATTATCTTGTGAGGTAGACATTACTACTACCCACATTTTACAGATGAATTAACAGGGATGTTAAGTGATTTGCCACCCAATAAAGTGACTGAGAAAAGCCTGAACTCAAGTCTTCCTGATTCAAAGTCTTGTGCCCCCACACTTGAAATACTATTATTGCTTCTCTAATACTCCAGCTTTTGAAGCATCACAAATATCTCTGTTGACCATTACTACCCCAAAAGTCGGCGCTGTAGATTTGCACATATTTTTGGCTTTTCATTGTTCATATCTGCTCAGGAAATCCAAGCCAGTGATGGTAGGTGAATTAGAAGAAACATATAAAGGAACAAAGACAACTTCAGGAAAGGAGCTGAAAGAAAAGCCAAAGAGATGTTTCCCAAGTTTGAAACCTCCAGGCAAACCTAAAATCACGCTTGAAGATGAGCTCCAACTGATTTTTTTCTCCCAAAAGAACTTGTACATTTTATCAGTTGAAAATGTGAAAAAGCAACTGAGATAAGACCTCAAAACCGGTCTGAAAGGCTTTGAGTTTACACAGGGTTTCTTCACCTGGGGACATGTGAAACTCCTCATGAAAAGGAAAGTCACCTTCTAGAATCTCTTGCAGTGGTAGAAATCTCTTAGAGCTTTATGTAATAGTACAACTCTGTTGTCTAGCTCTCTTGTCGTTTAGAGGGCTAATGAATCAGGCTTTATAAAGAGATAGAAGTAGAAATATAAGTTGTTATTTACTGATGTGCTCAAAACTATATTTTTGGTAATAATAATAAATCAACAAGAATTGATTAAGCACCTACTATGTGCCAAGAAATGCATTGGAGATACAAAGGAAAAAGTGATTTAATAGTCCCTGCCATCAAGCAACTTATATTCTAAGTGAGAAGGCAATATGTGCATTTATACATGTACTTACATTCCCTTATGATATACTCCTATACCTCTCCTCCCTCTCTCAAACTCTTGGGAAAAAGTTGTCTAAACTCACTATCTCCACTGCCTCTTCTCTCACTTATTCCTTAACCCTCACCACTCCACCTTCCCACCTCATTATTCAATTTAATTTTCTCTCCAAAATTATTAACATTCTCTTAATTGCCAAATCTAAATTTAATGGCAGTTTCTCATTCCTCAGTCTTTATTGACCCATCTACTGAACTTGCCACCACCGGACATACTCGTCCTGGATATTCTTTCTCTTCAAGCAGGTGTTTTTTTCTACTCCTTCCACAACTAGCCCCTTTATACCTGTGCTTTGGATTCCATTCCCTTTCCTTTCCTTTTGATATTTCTTCCTCTCCCAACAGCACTTTTTATCTGGATCATTAGACTAAAAATAATTATAAACTACCTTGTGTTGTTATTCAAGTAGGTTCTAAGTTCAAAGGCAAGCCCCATATCTCATGACTTCTTTGAAGCCACCAAAGCATCTAGACAATAAACATTTGTTGAAGAATGCAATATTACAAAGCATAATGGCACACTCCTGTGATCTCTACAATTACGGGAGGGGAAAAAAGCGCAGAAAGATACATGGATGGATAGATAAATAGAAAAAAGATGGATGGATAGATGGATAAGTAAATAAAGGAATGGATGAATGAATACATTAACAAACAATTAAATGGATGAATGAATAAATAAATGATTTTTAATTAATTACTTAATGAGTGAATGGATGAGTAAGAGATGTTGATTATTCTTCATTGTCAAATGAAGACACTTGTTTTGAAATGCCTTAAAGTCTGGGCCCCAAAGTATATGTTCTACGTACCTGTCCAGTCTCCAACTATTTTCAGATGAACCCCAAATATTGCTTTGGTTTCAGTTGGGCACTAAAAAATAAATAAATAAAGCATCAATCTATTCTGAATAATAATGGAGTATCCAATTAAGATTCAAACATAATTTTCTTCATGCAGAAAAATCCCAAATCAAGAGAAAAAGGAAAAGCAAGGGGAGAAACATTAAGTTCTATATAAATTCTTGTTAAAAACAAGTAACAAAGTAAACAAGTCAAAATACAATCAACTAAAATATGTTCATTCTGGATTCCAAAAGAAAAGCTATGTATTTTCCTTTCCAAATACATAAATAATTATATAAAATAATATCATCAAATTTCTAAATAGTTGTTACAATTCTTACTTAAAAAAAAAAACTTATTTGCTGATAGTATGCCCAGTGGCCTAAGTAACAAATTTGTACCACAAATGAAAAGAGGACATTCTTCCCAAATAGTCAACATAAAGATGTTTTTTCAACCCCAAAAATAAACACCCACCTGATCTTCTGTTTCTTCTCACTGCCATCACTCCTTTTCAGTATCATAGCCTGCACTCCCCAGTTGCCTTTACTTCTACTCCTAAGAATGTTGAGGAGCTAACTGTGTTGTGGGTATGATGATGATGATAATGATGATGAAATTAGTGAAATCTCATGAAGATGGGGACAAAAAGAGGAGAGAGGGAGAAGGAAATCTGATAGGAACAGAAGGCCAAGAATGTAATTCAAGTGAAAACATGGTTCTGGGCAACCTCAAATAAACCAAGGAATAGAGGCATAAATAAGGAAGAAAAATGCACAGAAACTGACAGTGCTTCTGAAGGTCCTCAACATAATGAGAGACAGTCCAGGGTAAAACTAACCATGGTGACACAATTAGATTAAGGCACTGAGCAGCAGTGAGACAGTAAAAAAGATGGAAAGATAAAGGTATGGGATCAACTAATTGATACCATATCATTGAAATCTCGGTTAGAAGAGTAATTTGGGAGGGGAAAGTGTACTATTAATGGCTAGTTGTCAAAGAAAGTTGGATGACAACTATAATTCCTATAATCTTCACATTTTAAGAACCGAAATTAACGTGAACATGGATTTCAAAACTGTTGTGCTTGTTTTTATTAAGGGTTTTTCTGATAACATAAAATAACAAAATAAATAGGAAACAGAAAGCTTAAAAGCAATTACCCCTTTTTTCTTATTTAACTAATGTAGAAATATTCCATTATTTTTCTTTCATATTTATTTGTTTAATTTCATATCAACAGGGCAATTCAATCCCATTTGCTAAATTAATGTTCCAAATATTAACTTTGCCAAAATCATTTCTACCTTCTTCACATACATACACAGCTCCTAACAGAGAGATTAGGTATCCCTAATGCTTAGTCTATGTGGATTGGTCTAATATTTGAATTATTCCATTTCCTTTCTGGTGCTAAATGAATCCAGATCTAGCTATCACAAGGTACTAAGCTTAAAGCAAGGAAGACCAGCACTAAGATCTGCAATCCTCCCACACATTCCAACCTCTAGTCATTATTAGTTGTGGGACCTTGAGCAAATCTCTGAGCCTGTTTCCTCTTCTGTAATGTTCTATGTTGCCTACCATGCTGAATTGTGGCTTATCTCCAATTATATAATGGACCTAAAGAGATTTGCAGTAATATAAATATCTATTTATTTATTATTCCTCTAAAAGAGACAGCAAAGTAGAGTAGATAGAGGACTGACCTCCAAACCAGGAAGAGCTGGTCTTGTCCCTGACATATACTAACTCTGTGACCCTGGGCAAGTCACTTAATCTCTCAATGTTCTATGCAACTCTCTAAGATGATAAGTTGCTGTTAAGGCACTCACCTACATTGAAAGAGGGAATTTCTTCACTGGAAATTCTCTCTACTACTGAAATTACAAATTCAGCCCCAATTTGTAAAAATGTAGGTAACATGCTCTAAATCCCTCAGATGGTTTTATTAGGAAAATGCTGTACAAACCTTAAAATATCACAGAGATGAGCATTTTTCTTGCTATTATTACCATTGTTCTTATCATAATTATTACTATCTCATTCTCCTTTGTTCCATGGGGTTCAGATAGAAAAATCATGGGACAAGTTACTATTCTGCCAATATTCTTTTATCTTTAATGTTTGATGGGGTATTTGATACATGGCTAAAATAATGGCTTCTTGTTGAGGAATAAAAGCATTGGGTTGAACGTGGCCTTTGTAGATTCACTGAAAATATTTTCAAAACAGCTCCAGTAGCAAACAGATCAACAGGAATGGCATGGTTAAGTATCTCATCTTGTTCCTACATGGCTCTGATCTCCTCTGCTAAGTCTTTATACTCTGAAGCATTTTCATTTCATGTAACTTGCAGATTATAACGATTTGGGATGGTGAGATCTATTAAAATGCTGGTGATGTAAAAACAAAAGGTATTAGTAAAACATCTTTTAAAATTGTTAAATGTAAAAGAAGTTTTTTTTAAATGGATCAATGTTATGTCCATGCTATTGTGGACAAAATTTTGTTCTCTGATTATGGTCCAGATCCAGTACAGTTTGTTGGTTGGGTTCGCTGGGATATTTTCAGATCCTACTTATTGTATGGGGATTTGTCATCTGTTAGTCTAATAAAGAAAACAAGCAGCTTCTGATGTATAATATTAGCCACCAGGGCATATTTTTTCAAATGTGCAGCAGTTGCTAAATGTTTATAGTCTGCAGTGATATAGCATAGTTTCCATCATTTATTTGGACAGTCTACATTGATCAGTAAGTCTAGGCTCCTTAAACATAAATCTTTTATCCTTCAAGCTAAAATGATTCAGAGCACCATTTTGCTGGAATAGGCCAAGGATACACTGTTTCCATTGCTTAGCATGGTGGCTGGCACATAGTAAGTGCGGAATAAATGTTTATGTTGTTGTCATTAATAATGATGAAAATGACAATAATGAAGATGACATGGTTTCATTCACTCATCTTTCCCCTCCCCCTTCACATTTTCAGAGAAAGTTCTCTGTAGTGGTGGAGTCAAGAGTAGTAACTAGGGAAAAGGAACTGTCTAATGAGAAGAAAAAAGGTAGGGTTGTTCCTAACTGGCACTGTCCACATTCCAAAGGTATGTAATAGAATTGGGAATAATTCCCCCTCCCCCATTGGGCTTTTTTTTCCCCTCAACTTTATGCTCAGACAGGTACAAACTTTATACCACAAAGAAATCCATAAGATTCAGTCATTTGTTCAATTTTTCTTTGCCAATATATTGTTCCTGAATTCATGAAGATATCTGTGATAGATGGAAGAATTTTGGATGCCATTCTTGGAATTCAGTAACTTTACAGGCTCTATTAGGATGCAATTTTCAGTTAAATTAGACAGCGGTATGTCATTGGCCTTTAGATATCTGCTTATTCCAGAAGTATTTCTATTCCTGCTCCTTTTTTTTAACCTGTTTATCATATACTCTAAGAACATCTATCAACAATCTTCTTTCTTGTTGGTGAACAATTGTTATTTCTATAGCTGTCTTAGTTTGATGGGATATCTGGATTATTAATATTGAATAGGCTTTCATTAGAACATTTTTAAAATATCTTATGATCCACTTAGTAGTAGTAGCAGCATCAGCAGCACAGTAGTAATAGCAGCAGCAACAGTAGTAGTAGTAGCAGCAGTAGTAGTAGACAACCAGTAAGACCAATGTGATCATTATAAATAATTTTCAAAGGAAAGCAAGGGATGGAAAACCAAAAAGGAAACAGTCTTTGTACTCAAAAAGCTTACATCCCATCCTAGAAGATATGTATAGTAACTACAATCATATACAACATATATGGGAAAAAATATAAGGGAATTGGGCAGAAAAAGATGAAGAATGCTTTACTAGGAAATATGACATGCTACTTAAGTGCTACTCTTTTATCCCCTTGCCCATATTTTGACCCTTTATATTTGTGCAATTTCAATGGTATGGGATACAATTAAAGATAATTTATATTTTAAATACATAACTTATTTATACTTATATAACTTATATACAATTTATATTCTAAATATACAACTCCATATTCAAGTCGGTTCTCAATTATCCTAATCTATGAAGAATAGTGCTGACCAGGAGCATATTAAAAACAAAAAATCAAAACAGTCCTGCTTCTATGTCTGTGTCCCTCCAACTAGCATCTATTAGAGTACTATGCTAAAGTGAAACAGCCTTTTTTCAATTCTCCACAGTTAATCTCCTCTCTATTAATATAGATAAGCAGGCACTGACCACTAGACAACTAGATGGTAGAGTGGATAGAGTGCTGGGCCTGGAACCAGGCAGATAGGAATTCAAGTCTACCTGAGACACTTACTGGCTAAATGACCCTGAGCAAGTCACAACCCCATTTTCTTCAGTTTCTTCATCTGCAAAATGAGCTAGAGAAGTAAATGGCAAATCATTCCAGTATCTCTATCAAGAAAACCCCAAATGGGGTCACGGACAGTCAGACATAACTGAAAAAGCACTGGCATATATAGGTTTTTTTTATGATTACTTCAGAGGCTAAACAGGGATCTATTCTTTTCTATTCCATTCCATTAGACAATCAAACCAATATCTAAGCTCTCAATTAGTATATATGAATGAGGTTATATAGAAGCAAAATGCAATGGATTTGGGGACACAAGACTACTGTGTGAGTCCTGGCTCTACCACTTAGAATCTAGGTGACCTTGATTAAATCATTAAAATTTGCAGCCTCAATTTCCTCATCTTCAAAACAGGGATAATCTCTCTCAACAGGGTTGCTCAAAAGTTGAAATGAGGCAATTCATTGGAAAGGCTTATCTGTAAATTGTCATGTAAATGTGGCTATTATTAATATAGTCCATAGTTTTGTCCACCTAAAACTTAAGGGAAAAGATCATTGGATCATAGACTTACTATCTAGTTCAAACAGCTCATTTTACAGATAGGGAAACTGAGGCCCAGGGATATTAAGTAAGTTGTCCAAAACCACACAAGTACTATGATATGAATATGAACACACAT